TGTTATTATGCGTGGTCAGCCTCAGGTTGGTTCTGCTTTGCAAGGATCAATGGAGTTAATTTCAGACTGTTTTAAGACACTACTGCAGCTGCTATTAAACATACAGTTGATCCAGATACAGTATGTTGATATTGCAGTTTTGTTGCCAGTTGAGAGAAGTGGAAGTTTATCTTATTTGTCGACGTGGTCTAAATGTATATCTTAGATGTTCTTTTTTTTTTTTTTAATGTATTGATGAGAAGTCTCAGGGTTTGTTTTTAATGGTGGGGTTTTGTTTGTTTGTTTGTTTTTGCCACAGAAACTTTTTTTCCCTGATACTTTTAATCTCATTTTTTGCTAGAAGTTTCATTTTGAGTTGTTCTTGATAGTAAGAATTCTTTCCAGGAAATAACCTGTGGAAATTCAGATGTATAGTTTGAGATAGCACAATTTGGTTTGCCTTGCAGTCATGCACACTAAAAATGCAGTCACCATTAAAGAGTAACATATTATACCTTTTGGATTTGAACCTTTTGAAGACGCAAGACTTCTCTAGGTTATCTATAGACTGTCTGCTGAAGGGCATTCAGAGACCATCCTGAAGATTATATTTGCCAACAGGGATAATGGGAAATATATTTCAATTGGTTCAGGAATGGATGCCAGTTAAACTTTATATTCTTTTTTTTTATTGTGGACTTTCATTAGTTATGTGTGTAGGAGAGTTTTCAGGATGTATTCAGTGTACAGATCTTTTAAAAAGTAGTCTTTTGCATCTAAATTAAAAGAAACTTAATTCTGAAGACAAAATCTTTAATTTCATAAATTAGTTCATAATACACACACAGCAGTGTATTTTCATGTCTTGTAGTTATGTTGCATCTGTGTAATTTAAATCTAATTTAGTAAGCAGTTTGATCTAGGTTTAGCTGATCTTGGAAAATATGCTCTCTGTAAAAATGCCACACATGCTTTGCATGAATTTAAACTATGTGACTGTCACTATTTGCCTAGGATGACTGTCCGTCTGTTACCTTCTGAATAGAGAGGGGTTTTGTGTGCAAAGAATGACAGTGTTAAACTGATTTATTTTTGTAACTGATTTTAAAGAAAGAGATTCCTCACTGTAATCTTGTTGAAATTATTTGTGGGAGGACACAGCAAACAGATATCCAATGGGATTTTTCTTCATTGCAATTGGTTTCTTGCTGTTCTTTCCAACAAAAGTGCTTTCATGCTCAGTTTATGGGGAAAAAAAAGCCTAAATCTAAAATCTCTCTAAAGAGAACTCTTTTAAGGATTCTGATGGAAACTCAACTGATCTATGACATTTTGAGGGACTGTAGAGCAAGAAGTGCAGTGATGTCTGAATTGGCACCTGAATCCTAGACACTGGAACTAAATATATAACTGGCATTTATGGAATGTCAGTAAATTGGAGTTTGGCTTCTAAATTGGTTCAGAATCACTTGTGCTTGAAAGTGAAAGCTCAGCATCTTCATAAAACTGTGTGCAGACATAGTAGGCTTTTAAAACCTTCATTCTTCTTATCATATTTAGCCTCAACTTTCTAACAGTTGTAATTGTCCACAGAAAACATTTCAAGATAAATGCATTATCAGGTTTTGAAATTTTCTTATTTTTGTAAATACTAAGACCTGGGGGTGAAATAAGGGCTATATTGTGGATTAAGTGAAATATCTCAAGCCTGTGCTTTTCTGATAACTGAACCTGAAGTGACCTTTCTCAGACACAATTACAGAGCTGTATGTTTTTCCTTTAATTTCATCAGGGGTTTAATTAGTATACAAATAAAACTTCCCTTATCTTCCTTTCTACCTAATTGGCTTGTCTTCGCTTATATATGAAGAATGTGAAAATGGGCTGTAATTAGGGTGACCGTGTTGACCTTTTTTTCTCAAATGTACTGTTGCCTAAAGGCCTCAAGGCCTAAAACCAGTGCTTTGGATTATTGCTTTGCAATCACTATGGCTCTCCCACAGGTTTTCTCATGAGCAGAAGGGCTTTGGGTGCTGCAGGTTCCCACTGCTTAACGGGATCTTCATTCTTCTCCCACTAAATGTTTATTGATTATCTTACTGCTCCACACTCAGCCTCCAACAACTTAATATCAGGTGACAGTCAGGAGAGTTCTCCAAGTAATTAGAGTAGAGCATTGAGGGAACAATTAGGAGCAGAGTTATTAAACTTGATTTATCCTATTCTCTCCTGAACACTTTCTTAGATATCAGAACATCACACTTTCACAATCTACCCTGGCTGAGAAATTACTGGCTAACCTGCTGCTTATCATTGTTGCCTTGCTGCCTTGAGGCACACCCTCTTGGTTTCAGTCACTCAGCTGGAAATATTAGAGTCCATAAAGTTTATCAAGGGTTTTAATTAGATCAATCTGAAGAAGGAAAAAAAAAGAGGCTTACCAGCCATTATTTTAGAATACTCCACACTGTATTTTAGCAATTTCCAAGGCTTCACTTTAACCCACAGTAGCAAGGAGCTTCAAGTGAATGCTAAACCTGCTTTTAGAGGGCTAGAATCCATTTACATTTTGCTGAGATATTGCAGTGTTACTGATAAGTAAAGTCTGAATCCTTTGGAGATTTCTGTAAATAAAGTTTTGAGTATAATAAAGCAGCTGTTCAGTCAGATATTTGATTTAATCATTTATATATTGCTCTGTCAACAGCTAGTGTGGCTTGCTGGCTATGCCTTTCAAAGAGTTAGGCCTGAATCCCTGTTATTGCTTCATTAATAGGCCTGCACTTGCAATTGATAAGCAAGATTAGTTAGCAGCTCCCAAATTTTGAAACCTTATGGGTCTCTCCTCCATTTTTGGACAGTGATGAAAGCTTTATGCAGAAGCAGACAACTCTTCACCTTCTGTAGAAGGATAGCTATCTAATAAAAATGTAATAAATGCACACCTGTCTTTCTTTACTCATTTAGACCGCTGGAGTCTTGGAGCCAGACACTGTTCCAGCAGCTTCTACATCAAAAGTTACTTGCATCAAAATCATGTATTGTGCATTGTCCAGAGCTCAGTCCTGTGACTGCATTTTGAAAACAAGACTTTTCAATCTGATGGGAAAGTGGGTGAACAAAGCATTGGCACAGAAAACGTTCTCTATGCAGCACATCTTGTTTGTCAAAGGATGGGAATATGGGGGGAGGGGACTTAGTTTTCAGATCCATTTCTCAATGCTGACTTAGCATAAAAGAAACAGTAAACACAGTAAATGGAAGAAGATAATATTCTTTATTCTTAAATTAAAGGTCACTCCTTTGATTCTTCCTAATCCACATCTGGTTTCTTAGAAATAACTTTTCTGAAAATCTGACAGTTCACAAATCCAGTTGTTCGAAGAGGGCTTTGATAGCTGTTGGTTTATTGGGTAGAATTTCCGAAAGCACTACTTCTGGTTTTGGATATCTTCGTGCAAATAAGAAGAATAAGATCTGTGTGGCTGGTTTTTTTTTTTTTTAGATGAAAATCACATTCTTCCTTGAAAATAATGACATAAGAGGCAGAATATTTAACCTGCAGTAATTTAGGCAAGACCAATATTAACATTTCTGGGGTTTAGAGTTTCTGAAATAAAATCCTGATTTTTTTTTTTTTTTTTTTTTTTTTTTTTTACTGATTAATCTCAGCCTGAATTTTGTAAATTGCTGAGAAGAGATTTCAGGTTGTGGTGCTGTACCTTCCAGTTATATGTTGGAATAGCTGGTTGCTTTTTTGTCTTCAGAAATGTTTGAATAAACCTTAGACCAATCCACAGATTTCTGTTTATTTTTCAGGATTATGCAGTTTCATGCTGTACTTTATTTTTTATAGTAATCTTCTGTAGCGTATTGTTTTTTGAAACGCCTTTGTGTCTTAGTTAGGTGTAAAGCTTTTTCAAAGGAATTGAGTTTTCTGTGCCCTCCAAATTTTTATCAGCCTTTTTATATGCTGTTTTTAATACATACCTACAGTGTAATACATCATCTCTGTCTTCCATAGTCCAGGTCAAGTACCCCTGAGTGCAAATTATGCCAAACATTCTCAGAACTTAAGCAGAAAACATACCCATAAATTTTGAAAACAAGGTGCAAGAGCTCAGTCTTGCAACAATGCAGTTTTCTGTCCTATGAGTTTAGAGTCTGAAAGGGAATTTGCATTTTGTAAAATAGTGTTTATAACCACCTATTATAATTTCTTTCTGAAAAGGCAGTTAACAGCTGTATGTGTAACATTTGGCAAACTACAAAATCATATTGTTAATACTGCAGTCTATAAAAGTATTTATTATCCCAACAGAAAGGAGAAGCAACTAGCCAGGTTCTGTATTAATTAGTTCTGTTTAGTGCTATTTGTCATCTATTGGATTAATCTGAATTGATTTAAAGCATGTTTTGTTAATTCTAAGATGAAGAGAAACATTAAAAGAATACACGTACTATTTTGCATATTGGAAAATTAATGTTAAAATATTGATAGCACCATAAAATACTGGTATATTCAAAATTTGCTGCAAAACTGTTCTTAATGCAGTAACAGAGAATTTTAGATTCTTTTTCCTTGAATCCTCAAATTACAGAATAGGGCAGAATATTTAAGTAAATGCTGCTTTGTTTATGCTCTTTTTCTCTGTCAATTATTTTCTTTAATATTCATTTAAAATCAAGTTTTGAGACTGTACTGTTTTCTTTAATGCTGTACTCTTGATTATATCTACTCTGTTTAGATTTAGTATTTCTTAATATAGTACCTGTATCATACTGTATGTACCTGTTTGACCAGTAGATCACTTTATTTTACAAAACATAGGCAATATACTAGAAACTGGGTGATTCTGAGTTTGTAATGTTTTTGCTAGAGAATTCATAAAACCTGAGTGTGTAATGGTCCAAATCTACTTCACAGTCTGTCTGTTTTCCACTTTGTTTAATAGCCTATGGCATAAATTGAAGTTAATTATTTGGGCTGACAAGTAACTCTGTTTTCTGTCTGCTTGCAGAGACTCTCCGAGGCAAAGATGGAGCTGAGAAGAAAAGATCAATCTCTGCGTCAGCTCAATAGACTTCTTACCCAGCTGGAGCAGGACAAGCGTCGACTGAAAGAGAGCATCCATGATGCAGAGAGTGCCCTCTGCATGGCAGTAAAGTGAGCGGTGGGACCTTGGGGAGATCACTTAAAACAGACAAAAGATCAATTCTTACTTTCATGCACAGGGTTTTAGCCCTGGCTAATGTAATGCTAGAAAACAAAAGTACATCTGTCTCTCTTTGAAATTCAGTGATAGTCTTCTAAAAAGAAAACTGTTAGTTCAGGATACTACATGGTATGTTTTCTGTAGTTATCCCATAATAGTGTTCCATATTCTTGGTCCTGAAATAGCATGTGAATTTTGGTGTGCCAATTACCTTACTAATTTAACAGCATCTCTTTGGCAGATGCCCAATGCTGTTTATTTTAGAAATTACTGCTTCTGGCCCCTCCCATTTCTACGTCTTTTTAGAGAGATACAATTTATTATAATAAATACAGAAATGTCAGCTACATGACAGGTCTTAGCTATCAGAGGGTCTGAAAATTGATTTTGGACCTTGTCTTATCTGTGGAACAGGGTAGATCTTTCTGCTAATCTCATAGAGTTTTGAATTTAGACATAAAACCTGTGCCTTCTTATACCATAATCATAATCTTGCCATAATCATAATCTTGAAAAGATTGGTAGTCAAAACATGTTCACTGACTTGTATGAGATTATTACTAACCTATTACGGTCATATAGTCAGATAAAAAAGGTAAGTATTTGTTATCTATTACTCTTACTGTAGTATGTACTTTGGATATAGTTGGTCTGTGGCTAAGATTTTAAAAGTTTAAATTAGCATTTCTCATTATACGTGGCATACATTTAACATCAGAAAACAATAGTTTAGAGGCTGACAAAGAAAAATCCCATACCATTTATTGTTCTACCAGCTTTTCATAACAAATGTATTTTTTAACCCTCTGAAACATAGGAAGAAGGTGAAGGAGGCTTCATTTTTGTTCAGAAAATCTTACTTTAATACTTCTTCCACAAACTGTGTGATTGTAAGAAATGCCTGTGTGGCTTTCAGGTTAATTCCTAATATTTTGTGTGGCTTTAGAGGATAGCAGATGCCTGGCTCATTCTGAGAATGGCCATCTTGATTGTCTTGCAGTGGTGGCCAGCAGTTCTGCTCTTCTTTCCTCCAGAGTAGGAGGCAGTTTTAATAAAAATGTCTATTAATGTGGGTCTAAATTTCCATCTGAAAATAATTTCCTTTTTTATGATGAACACCTGAGAATATATGAGGAACAGACTGACTTCTATGTCAGTAACTAACTTAAAAGTTAATGATGTTGAACTGGCTCTCTAGAGCTTACTTCACCCAGACAACTGGCAGTCACTAGATAAATGAAGCCAGCACAGAAGTGTGTCCTTGTCAATCTGGTCCAGATAAAGGCAGGATCTTGAAGAAAATCTATGTAACAGCTTTATTAGGAGTGTATATGCCAGTCCTACTTTTCTGACCGCCATCCTGTATTTGTTGTTGGGGTAGTATAGATCAAGAAATGAGGAAGCAATAGGCATTCCAGGCAGAACAACACCATGTTTTTGACTGGAGAAAAAGAGGTGCAGAGGAGATCTTGTCCATCTGTACAACTAGCTGAAAGGAAGTTGTAGGGAGGTGGGTGTTAGTCTCTTCTCCCCACTAGCAAGTGATAGAAGAGGGAATGGCCTCCAGTTGTACTAGCGGAGATTGAGATTGGATATTAGGAAAATATTCTTCATCAAAACATTTATCAAGCATTTGAACAGCCTGTCCAGGGAAGTGGTTGAGTCACCATCCCTGACGGTATTTGAAAGACATGTAGATATAGTGCTTAGGGACATGGATTTAAAAGACCTGTAGATGTTGCATTTAGGAACATGGTTTAGTGGTGGACTTGGCAGTTGGATTTGACCTTAAAGGTCTTTTCCTTTTCCACACAAATATATAATTCCGTGACTTCTGTTTTAGGAACTGTAAGAGCTCAAACAAGGTAAAAGACAGTCCTGGAATATTAAGGTGTATCAGCTTTTCTGGCATAGATTCCATTTGATTTTCTCTGTTGTTTTGTTGGTTACGCTGTTCTGTTCTCCTTAGTCAAATGGTATTGCACAACTTGAATTCCATTTCTGACAATTCATAGATGAGACCAAGGGTTTTTATGGCAGCGTAACTGATAAAAGCTGTCTTTCTTACTTAAGCCCTAATCTAATGAAAGGTGTCAAAGTCGAATTGCATTGTCCAAACTTCTGTTTCATAAGGATAGGATCCTTGACTGGACTTCTTTTGGAAAAGGACAAGTGGAATGTTCAGGTTTAGAGAAGACCGGAAGACATTCATATAAGTACATAGTTGTTAGGCCTGTCAAACTGGTGAAACCCACACAATTAGTGTTTTCTGGTACGAAATGTAGTATGTTCCTGCTAGAGCCTGGACTCCAGTCAACATGCTGTTTTTATCCAAGACTGCAGATTTATTCTCCAAGAACATGATAGTTGTTTATCCACAACAGAAACATCTTTCATACAGAACTGTGCCGTATAGTGGTCCATGGACAATTTTTTAGTATTTGCATTGGAGATATAAAAATGAAAGATACAAACATAACAGTTTGAGTCATAAACCATTATTTTTAAAGAGGTGATGGTTATAAAGTAGCAGAAAATTAATTTCTGCATCAATAGAGCTTCAGTTCAATTAACTGTGGTTTTTTTGTTGTTTTCTCTCTTGTAATAGAGACAAACAATTGATAATTAGTCACATGATATCTGTGGAAGCCACTCTTCATAAGGTAAGAATTTGAAGTGTTCTGTCTGCACTTGTATTTCCAAACACATTGAGGTTTTAGAACTGCTTATATTCAGGGAAGTAGGGGTGTAGAAGTCGAAAAGCAACTTCCTTTCCTTAGAGTTAAGTTTCCACCTTCGACTTTTTTCAAGTTAAAAAAATATTCATATTTAGTGAAATAAAATACAATTTTGTAATACTCTGACATCTTAATATAAAGTTTATGTCAAAACTCACCTTCCTTACCTCAGCTGAACACTGTTTCTGGTTACTAAATGAAGACTACTGATCATCCAAACATTTGGTAATTGCTGCTAACTCTCTGCTGAGTAAGGTGAAGGTCATCTGGTGAGGTCACATATGTGGTGGCCGTAAGGCATTTGGCTTTACCCATGCTACTTTAATCTTTGACACATGATAAATAGAATAGGGAAAATACAGTAAGTAATGAGCTGTAATAAAAAACTTTCATCATACATTTTTAAAAGCCTTTTTTAAAGTTGAGTAATAATCTCAAATTTTCTCTTTGACTTGTCCTGTTTTGCCCTGGTATAGTATTATTTGAAGTTTTAACAAAGCTGTATATATTAATTACAAGTGTTGTTTTCAACTGTAGCTCTGATTGTTTTGTAAGTGTTCTTAGTCCAGCGCAGCACAGAGCAAAAGTGGGTTTATTACCTTGGAGTGTTAATTTCCCTTATAAATATTGTGAATTCCCAGCATCATGGGAGTCTACTTCTTACCTTAGTTTCTGTGTCCACACAAACTACTATCAACTGAATTTTCAGGTACCTTCTTCAAATTTCTCTTTTCTTTAATGTTCACAAAAAGTGACAATACCTAAACTGTGTGCTTTAAGTGTTGCAATCTGTACTATTAGGGAATGTCTTCGTTTCTGTCCCATCTTTACACTCACTTCATTTAAGCTTGGAAAATGTATGTAATGCAGAAAGTGCTGTTTTGTTACAGTAACATGTGCATGTAACATCCTTGGCCTTGAGAATTTCTTGCAAGTTTACTTTTTGATTTAGAAAGCTGTGCTGTATATGCACAAGGATTGAAATGTTTGGAGAAAGGTCAAGGGAAGTTCACGTGCTTAGCGCTGATTTTTCTGATGCAGAAAATGGATCTAGGAACTGCCATCTTTCTTTGAGATGTTAGTTACCACACCTGCTTCTTAGTTCTTGATGTTGTTAGGCCTAAATCGCATATTATTGGATAGTAGAGTAATTTATCCTTTCTGGTTTGTCAACCTAAAGAATGAAGAAAAGATAAGAATTAGAAATGTCAGGATGCTTCTTTCAGCAGGAACTAAGAAGAATTGGTTGTAAATCATTCATAATTTGAGATATCACCTCTCCTGGAAAAATAAAGGGAAATTATTTGTCTTTGTTTGGGAACTATCTGAAATGTAAACCCTACACGATAATGGTACCTAATTATCTAATGAATTTGGCTTATTTGTAAACTATCAAGTTTACACTGTTCTTAAAGATTTTCTTACACAGTGAAACATCAAAACATGATGAAGTAGATGAAGTACTAGTAAAGGAACCTCAAGCCTGTCTTTTCTGCTGTAGAAATTCTGAGAACTGCTTTTGTTTTCAAAAGAGAAATCAAAAGAAAATGGATAAAGTTCAGAATCATCTGAAGTTGAACGAATATTACTATTAGCTGCAGGTACATTTATGGGAGTTTGAAATTGAACATTGTGGTATATCTGTGTTGATGTATTCATGAGCGAATATCCACAAAATTCCACTTCATCACTTGCAGGATCTGTGTTATCAATGCATAATGCTAATTTTTTGCTTATATTGCTCAGAGAGGTTTTACAGACATCCTTTGCAATCTTAGACTCAGAATAAGACAGTGTATACTGATATCCATTAAAGCGACCCCGCCCGTTTATGTACATTCTCACTACAAGAATTCCGGAAGGTAGCAGTCTGCCTTTGCGTGTACTTGAGTGTAACATTCAGCAAACAAAACAAGAACAAGTGCAGCTGAGGGAGACAATCTCTCTGTATACTTCTAGTACAGTTCTAGACAAGGGATCATTTACAGCACTTAACTGCCCCCTGTGACTTAGTGGAAAATCTAGTATCATATATTTGGCTTTGTGAATAAGTGCTTGGGCATGCTTGTGCCCAGAATTATTCTTTTAAGACCATTTCAGGGCCACCTTTTAAAAATTCTCATTAATATTTTTGAAGCATAATGTGGAGGAATTTTAGCATGTGCTATGCCAAGAGAGAAACTTCTGTTCAGAGAGTTCCATATCCTTTGTAACCTGCAAGATACTCTTTAGAGGGTCATTTTTTGTCTTATACTGGGTCTTGTCATGTTAGCTAACTTCATCTGACTCCTGGAGCTAGATTATTTGTACAAGAGCTCCTGATAACATTAAAATAAGAGCTCTGTCTTGGTTTTATACCATCTAAATATTGAGGACAAATATCTAAGTGCAAAATGAATGTTTTACCTGATAATAATAGTAGTAACCACCAAAACAACATTACCAAGGGCAACAAAGGACCACAGGAATTTTGCTGTTGGTAGTGGGGTTTGTTTGGTTTGTTGTTTTTTTTTTGTTTGTTTGTTTGTTTGTTTTCTTTGTTTTTCATTTACATTCAGAAAACAGGTGCTTTTTTTTCCCTCCTTCCCTCTGTACTTAGAGGATTTGTGTCTGTGACTTGACCAATTCATTTAAAAAAAGAAAAAAACTGAATGTAGGATGCAAAATGATAACAAATAAATAAATCTTTACTAGAAGTCTTACTAGAAGAAAATCCATCTGTTTAAAGTGCAAATGTAGAGTTTCCTGAAAAGTCTTCTCATCAAGAGAAAAACTATTTAAGTAAATATCTTATTTAAAGGGCCATCTGCAGTCCTTTTTTTGTGTATGAAGAATAAATGATTTTTTTAAACCTTCAGAAAAATATTTTTGTTCTAAATATATCCGTAGCAAACTTAATTTCATTATTAATTTGATATGTATTTTTTAATACTGTTTGCATAAACAGAGTAAAAGACATTAAATCTGTTCACTCTATACAACTGGATTCCTTCACGTGTGTAGATAATGATTTACAAGTTACAGTAAACCCACTAGTGGAAGAAATAATTTTGCACTATCTCTGCTAAAATCTTCAGTCTTCCCCTTGTATTGCTTCTCAATTGGAGTGTTTGTAGTGGCTTAACCTTGGCCAGCAGCTGGATGCCCACCTAGCTGGTCTCTCACTCCTCCTCAATAGGGAAGGAGTACAAAGTAGAATCAGAAAGTTTAGGGATTGAGATAATAGCTGGGGTGATTGCATACCCGTTACTGTCACAGGTAAACAAACCAGAGTTGACTTGGAGAAAATTATTTTATTTATTAAAATAGATATGGATAGTGAGAAACAAAGACAAAAAAAAATATCATCCATCTACCTATTAGGCGCACCTTCACTCCTGACTCTTCTTCCCATGCTCTGAGGTGTAATGTGGGGGGTCGAGGGGCAGGGGATTGGATTTAGTCCGTAACAATTCTTCTGTGCTGCTCCTTCCTCCTCATATTGTTTCCATGCTCCAGTGTGGGCTCTCCATGGACTTCAGTTTCTTCATAAACTATCCACCTGCTCCAGCATGACGTCTTTCACTGTCTACATTGTGGATGTATGCTTCTGTATAGCCCTCTCTGTGGGTTGCAGGGAAATAATCCACTATCCACTAATTCAGTGCCTCAAGCACTTCCCCCACCACTTCTTGTCTGCTTTTGGTATTTGCAGGGCTGTTCCTCACTCTTTTTTTTCCCTCCTCCTCTGCCTGTTTGGTAGTTTTTGCCCTTTCTTAAGTACATTTTCATAGAGGGGCCGCCATCATGGCTGAGGGGCTCAGCAGTGCCCTGTGGTGGGTCTGTTGAAGATGGCTGGAAACAGCTGTGTCCACCACAGGGCAGCCACTGGGCAGTGCCTGGGCACCTACACCTGATATAGTGCTGTAACTACTTCTTCTTCAGCTTCCCTAAACCCCTGTTCTCTAAACTCTGCCTGTGCAAAACACCACCATGAGAAGTCATCTAGTGAGTCAGCCTGCACAGTGACAGAAAATTTTTTCTGTTTCCCACTGTAGTCTTCACTACTAAGGTCTTGACAAACTTGATGGGCTGGCAGAGTTTTCAGCTTGTCTCAGCCCTTGCTGCTTAGGATTTGGCCATTTTAACAGGTTAACAAAATACCTTATCGTCACAAGCTTAGACTGTTAGCCACTACCCTGTGAGGCTGATGAGCTGTGATAATAAGTCCATTAAAGCCACAAAAAAAATCCTCCCCCCCAAATCTTTTTCCCAGTACTGGTTAGCAGCCCATTCTGATGTTTGGGGACAGTGCAGGGATCAAAGCACCTATCCACTGTTTTCCTTTCAGTTTGGCACATTGTCAGAAATATTATTCTTCATCCACTTCTGTAATGCACTTCATTTCTGCTGATTGAAAGGTTCATATGCCAGCTGGCAGAACAGCTTCCACACAGACCCATCAGTGGTCGCCTTGAAATCCTTCCACTATTGTGTTTTATTGCCTTGCTGCTGCTCCCTTTCCACCCCTGTTGTCTTCTCCAAAATGTCCCTAAACTAGCTATGCATGAGATTTGCGGCCCACAGTTCTATCAGTTGAAAAGAAATCTGAACACTGTATAGTCCATCCTGTTATATACTTGCAAAATGCAAAGGCAAAAGTATCTTTCTTTATCCAATTTAATGATGTTTTAAAACCAAGATAAAGAGACAGTTGGGGATGGGGTGAGACCATTGAAGACTTGAGAATTAGCAATGAGGTGGCATTAGATTGCTATTTCTCACGTGGTCTGTAGCAATAAAATGCATTTCCTTATGCTGGTGGTTTTATGGCCTGTGAGAAATTAATTTACAATAGGTATAAGTCCATATACAAGTGACTACATCTGTAAAAATGCTCAGAGTATGTGTCATTAGTTAGTTTCAGCAAGAAGACCACAAACTGA